TTCATGAATGCTTTAAGATTGAGCACTTTTCATATAGCTGGGTGACTTGGGTCACGAGATACAGACCAAAACGTGGACCCGGGTAAACTTAGGCTGTATTTGTTTAATATCGGCATAAAATGAAAGCTGTTATGTCAAAAGTATGCGGAAGCAAATAAAAAAAAAATTAAAAAATTCATGAATACCGTTTTAGTGAAAAATAAAATTGAGTAATGCGGACAGTTCTTTAATCTTCTTTAATATAAAAATTAATATAAAAATAAGTAGGGTTTTCCTTCCTGACGCTATAACTCCAGAACGCACGAACCGATTTTCACGGTTTTGCATTCGTTGGAGGTTTATAGCTAGGAAAATTCAGGAAAAATTTCAATAGAAAAGTATATGGTGTGTGAGTATCCCCCACGAAAATAAGTATGTTTCATTTAAAGTAGATGGTGCCATTGTTTAACAGCTATTCATTGTACTTTGCTCAGTTAATTTCATGTGACACTAGCGAATACCCGGCGTGCTTCGCTGCGCCTTAAAAGTAAATAAATATTATTTAATATTGCTGTACATATTTGTATAGTAGGGAGATTTTTTCAAATTATATAAATATACGTTATTTGAATATTGAATCAATACACGTTTGAGGAAAGGGTGCGATAGTAGACTCCAGTTATAAGATTATAAATTAAATTTCCAAGAGAAAGTCGGTTCTTTACATATTTTCTAATTACCTTCGAAAATATATTAACTCAAAAAAAAAATAAACAATGCTTCATAGATCGATTTTTTTAAATCTAACTTCATAAAGTTCTTTAAAAATATTTTGTAAATGAGGCCATAAGAGCTTAGGGGGAGAGTTACAACACAAAAATACATTTAAGGCGCAGCGAAGCACGCCGGGTAATTGCTAGTACATACATAAAATAAGCAAAGAAAAAAAATAAAATAAAATTCCATCACGTAAATTTTCGGGGAAAATTACTTTTTTTACTTTTCATAGTGTAACGGCGTATTACTATCGGAAACTTCGAAATTACATAAACCTTTCTGCTTAAGTTAGTCTTTTTAGGTGTTTTTTTTTAACTAATACTGTTGGGGTTTCAAAATTAAATTTTAGATCGATTAATTTTTGTTTTTTTTTCATGAAAATCGTTAAAAACTCCAAGATAAGCATACCAGCGGGTCTCTCATAGCTAAAATTCGGAAACATTTTAGCATTCGTATTTTAACATTTTAGCGATAGTGAAAGTCAGAATCCGGCTGCTGGTCGACACAGTTGGCTTTTTGATTTCGAAAAGAACTTCATCAGCAGCATCAGAAACACTATGTTTTCAGATCTAAATATTTTAGCATCCTTTCCAAATTGCTTTCCATAATTTTCGTCTTTCTTTGACAAATAATTGCAAAAAATATGCGTTTTTTCCTCTAAGAGTTTCATGGAACTTTCGCAAATGTCAGCAGCACTAAATTTTGTTTCAACATGGTTGACAACCGAAAAAAGCATTTCTTTTTTCGAACATCCAATCCTCGTGACGGTTTGGTACTGATAGTTCTCATTGTTTATCGTTCGGTTATTGTTAGGCGGTGCATGTAGAAGGAGACGGTGAGATTCAATGGCATTCGCAATGCGAGTTTTGGTACGCATGGCGGGGTGGAGATAGCGCTTTTTCCGGCGGTCGGTTGTGCCGGAGCGTGATCACGTGCTCGGCGGCAGTGCTTGGTCCTGTAATGTTGGAGAGTGGCGCTAGCTAGTGGCTGGCCATCTAGTGTAACGATGATGCCTCGTCTTGCAAGGAAGTCCATTCCTAGTATCATTTGCTCCGCCAGGTTAGGGATCACCACTACCGAAGTGCGCGTGGATCGATTGTTATGTTTAATCCTGACGGGATAGGTGTGCGTGCTAACGACGCACGTTTGATCTGCGAGTTGCACACTCTCCTATACGTAAGCGTGGCTGCTGTGTCCACCAGTGCCCGTATGTGAAATCCCTCGATGGTGACGTCGACGTAAAAGCGACCGTCGATGCCTCGCCATTCAGGTTGCAACCCGGTAGCGTGGGCAACGGGTGATGCTGTAGCGGTTGGGCTGATGACGTTGATTTCGGGCATGGGCAATCTCTGGAAAAAATTCCGTCTTGCCCGCAGCGGGAGCAGAACAGCCGGCACGTGTTGCGACAGTGAGAACGCTGATGTCCACGCTTTTTGCAGAGCCAGCAGGTGTTTCTTGCGTCGTACCGGCTCCCTATGGTGGAAATGCTGTGTGCCGCCTGTCTGTTCTAAATGGTTTTTCTTGCACATTTTTGGATATTGCCGGAGGATCGTCTGGAGAGTGAGGATGTAATCCTTAGCTTTTTCCCTGTGCAGCTGCTTCCGCTGGCGAATAGTGTCTTCTCAGTGGTTTATGTGTCGCTTAGGCAGGAAAAATCTTTCTGCCTCGGCGTGAAATCTGCCCCAGGTGGTCGTCTGTTGCCTCCGGACGCGGAACCACTTGAGCGCTTTGCCGCGTAAGACCTCGGGGAGGGTGGGGAGGAGTTGGTCTCGCAGGATAGCATACCGCCAGTTTCTCAACCCAGCCCAGAAAGTCGTGCAGGGCGTCGCCGCCGGAATAGTATACGTCCCAATGGCGGACAGTACTCATCACTTCAGCGTACTAATCCTGTCTCGCTGGTGGACCGCCTGTTTTACTCCTCCAGAATGTAGGAATGATTCGCCCAGTTTGATTTGATTTCGTATATCTCCATACCAAGTTCCAGAACTCTACCATGACCACCTCCAGAGATATGCAGCATGAAAAAATGCGGTTTGTATGGGAGGTGCCCCGCCCCTTTTACATATCGAATTTTTTTTTTTAGCCTAAAACCATCCTTGGGACTCATGCGGCAGGTGTCCAAAATTTAAAAAACAGCGGTTCAGCTGTTCTCGAGCTTTGCGAACACAAAAAAAAAGACTTATTTCCAAACCATGAATAAATTTCCAAACCATGAATAATACGAATCCGAATTAAAATTCCATGAACATTTGGTTAATATTTTTCAATATTTTACACTGATCACTATAATTTTTACTTTTGTGACAAACACGGTAACCGCAATTGCAGCTTGAACTTTAATTTGATATATGTACATATAACTCAATTATGTAGCTGCTCCAGATCGCCCTAACTAAGTCGTATGACTGAGCAATGTATAGATACTTAATTAATAAAACATAATTAAATATTAAAATAAACTATGAATTGAGTGGAGCCACAAATTAATTTAGAGACCGATTATGTAAAAACATTTGTATATGTATGTATGTATACATTTTTACATGTTGACTCCATAAATGCGGGCAGAAGGTTTTCGCACTTGATCCACATAGCATGCCAGTGGGTATATAAGCACAAATATATTCCAGAGATAGTTTAGTATTAGAATTTTCATTAGGTAGTGAAGTCTTGGATTCGATAACTAAATAAAATCTAAAAGATGTATTTATTAAGTTTGTTCCTTTTATGCGCTGTTGCACACACGTCAGCATTAACTACACCAATCTATCCGACAACGGTAAGTACATAGTCATTATCTTTGAACTTTCACCGTAAACGCTCATTCCCATGCCCTTCATTTCAGGCTGATCGCGTGGTGGCAAACAATTATCCCGTAGAGTCACATACCGTACAGACAATCGATGGCTACCTTCTTACCATGTTTCGCATACCTTACTCGTTGCGCGCACAAAATGCCAATGTGCCAAACAAAACTGTGCTGTTTCTACAACATGGTTTAATTAGTTCTTCGGACGATTGGATTTTGGCTGGTCCAGATAAGGCTTTGGCCTACTTGGCAGCCGATGCTGGTTACGATGTGTGGTTGGGCAACTTTCGTGGTATTACTTATTCGAGACGACATGTTTCGCGGTCGCCAGAGAAGAAGGCGTTTTGGCGTTTCAGCTTTCATGAGCTGGGTATTTATGATCTGCCGGCTATGTTTGAATATGTGTTGCGCACCACAATGAAAGATTCGCTGCACTATGTTGGTCATTCGATGGGCACAACCACATTTATGGTACTGATGTCCTTGATGCCTTGGTATATGGAACGTATACGCACAGCTCATTTGTTGGCACCGATTGTTTATATCGATAACCAACAATCACCGTTGATGCGCTTCACTTCGCCCATTTTGGGCAAACCCAGTCCAATCTCCAAGGCCGTGAGTGATCATGATTTTCTGGGATATAACGAATTCACGTCTTTATTTGATGCGGCGGCATGTAGAAATGAATTTTTAGATGAGACACTTTGCGCCAATCTTCTGTTTCTTTACACGGGATTTGATCCGGTTAATACAGACTATGTACGCATGAACATATTTGCTGATACACGATGATTGTGCGAATTATAATAAATGGGTTTTTAAATTTCAATTTACAGTCCCTAATTCCCGAAATCGTAAAGACTCATCCTACAGGCGGCTCCACCAATCAGGTGTTACATTATATGCAGGAGTACGTGTCCGGTCACTTTAGGCAATACGATCATGGTCTGAAAGGGAATTTGTTGTACTATAAACAACCAACGCCACCCGACTATCCACTGGAGAGTATACGAGCGAATCCTCCATTGCAACTGTACTATGCGGATAATGATTGGCAATCATCGCCAATCGATGTTTTTCGCCTGTTGCCGCGCATGGGTGACAACATTGAGCTTCGACACATTAACCTCACAACCTGGAATCACTTGGACTACTTGTTTGCTTTTAATGTTAGAGAAGTAATCAACGAGAGGGTCCTCGGATATATCAATGGATTCGAGAGTAAACGGGAAGTAATGTTGGTGGAAGAAGAAAACAGCGAGGAAGTGACAGAGGGAGCGGTTAATATATCCTAATACAGTTTGAAGCATTGTGTGTGGTGTAATTGAAAAAAAAAGTGTTGAATTACGGCGGTACGTCAGTTGTGGGCAGTTGTTTTCAGAGGACGCATGTGTTTTGCGCTGATCGTGTCGTAATTTAATTAACTATAGTCGCAGTTTTTGTGTTATTATCGATAGTTGTATGTAATTACGAAAAAAAGGAGCGAAATAATGTTTTTGCACGTTTTGCATTCACCCACTACTGCATGAATTATATGTAAAGGAGCCGAATAAAAAAGTTTTAACTATTAGATCACGTTATTTACGTGCCAATAAACCTATATCGAAAGAAAAACGACTCCAAGTCGTTTATTTTAAATTTTATTTCGCAAAGAAATATGTGGAATATTTTATGAAAACAATAGAAAACAGTTGGGTAGCGGTTAAATAATTATTGATTGACACAGAAAAGGATGTGTGAATTAAGAAAATATTTTTTATTTTATAAGAACAACTTGTGTTTTTCATTAGTTTTTCTTTTTGCAGTTGTGTTCCGTGCACACAAAAGTGAGGTTATATTCAAATGTCATGTAACTATAGGCAAACCAGTTACGTTCCGTTATTCGAAGTTAACTTCTCAATGAATTTTATTAGTTCGATAAAATTTTATAACTCTCGTTAAGGGCTACTTTCAGCTGCCAAGAAAAACGAAAAATCGAAAAGAAATTATCTTCTCTCAAAATTTCTTAAAGCAGTTTTCAGCTCACAAGAAAAACAAGCTCGTATATTTATTTCTTCAAGGAAATTTCCAGCAAAAGCAAAGTGCTTTTTCAAGCAACAGAAATAATGAAAAATACTTATTGTGATTATAACACAAACACTACATCTTCACCTCAATATAAAGTACCTGCGGACCGAGATGCAGAGGTATTATTGCCTTTGGCTACTGAGTTTGATGTCTACAAGGGTTTGTATATTCGTATTGCCGAATGCACTAACCAGGGGCTTACGTTGCTAAACAGACAGAGCAGAGAGACGCAAGTTAAGTAATAGGTCCATTCCTTATCTTTTCTGACTAAAATCTGAAAAGGGTCAAAATGCAAGAGCGTAAGCAAAATGCAAATTACTTAACGGAAAATCTCCTGCTTTGGCACTAAGTAAAAAGTGACTACAATTTTTTACATCTTTGAATGTATTTGGACTATTTTGGCAGGACTTGGAATTGACCCGATGTATACCAGTTTGTCTATAAATTTCAATAATGTAAAACATATCGATAATTCGATGAATTTAAAAAACCACAAATCCAGTAACTGAACAAAATTCAATAACTAGAATAATTTCGATAAATTCCGATAACAGTGCACTTTGGGGCCTCGCTAAAACTCAAAAATGTATAAACCTCGATATAAATCGATAACTCTATAGACTTTGGATACCCTTATAAATTTCGATAACTTAAGCTTAATTTTGATAGCTCCGTATTTTTCGCAAGCTATCGTTCTGGTAACACGATTAATTCTATATACCACTTTGAAATTTCGATAACTCGATATATTTGGAAGCTCCAACAACTTTGATTCGATGAATATACAGATTTCAGTAAATCTATATATATCGATAATAATCGATATAAATCGATAAATTTTGTTAACTATGTAAATAACGATAATTCAATAAATATTGATAACTTGATAAATGTCATTAAAATGACGAATTTCGATATCCCGATAAATTTTTATAGCGCCTATAAATTTTGACAACTCAACAAACATTGACCAATTAGAATAATTTGATACGTTGCGATAACTCAATAAACATGGATAATTCAATAAATTTTTATAACTATAAACGAGGAATTGATAAGTTTCTCTAACTTGATAACTTTCGATAAGTACATTTTTTATGACTGTATTGTTGAAAAACAGAATTGAAACAAACTCTGCGATCAATTTGACATTTAAGATTCGCGTTCGCAACGTAAAATAGGAAAGAACCACTAGTTTTCGGAAAACGTTTTTATCGCAGGAAAAGCCACTTTCAAGTGAATGCTAATGTTTTATCAGCAGTAATAAGTAAATTAGTTCCTACTCAGAGTTCGATCCCTTAGGTTGTCTTCACTGGTATCCATGTCTTTTAGGAGAAAGAACAACACAAACACGTAAATACATGCACAATTACATTGTAATATTTATTTAATGACTTTGCAGGTATTTTATAAATTTATTATATCTAAGTTCATTGACTTTTTGTTTAACAAGTAATTTTTAGCAAAAAAAAACCGACTTAAAAAATATGTATATATATATCTATATATTTCATGATCCAATGATCGGATGTAAACCAAATTAGTATGGGACTACCTCCGAGACACTACCTTTCCGTTGCAAAAAGAATTATTGAAATCGGTTGACGTGGTGCAAAGTTATGCGGTAAAATACATAAAAAAAAAAAAAAATATTCCGACGAACTGATAACCTCCTCCTTTTTTGGAAGTCGGTTAAAAAGTTAAAGCAATGAGGCACAGTTTGTTATTGTTAAATCCTATCAGCTAAGTACTATAAAGGCCAAACGTTTGTAATACTCGAATTTAGAACATTTAAGAAACAAGTAATTTTTAGCAAAAAAAAAACCGACTTCAACTCACATATAAAAAAAAAATATATATATATATATAGATGTGGTAATCTCTGAAATAGCTGCTATAACTTCTACCGCTTAGAATTTCTTGCTTTTTCAATTTTCCCTAATAAATAATCGTGGTACAAAGCTCAATACAAATATTAAAAATAAAATGTTAATAAGCCACAATAACAATGACAAATACATGTATATTTCTTGTTGCTCTGACTTTCTTTAACATACATTTCAATTTCTTTATCGTACTAGCTGTCGGGTTTCTTAAATCGACTCTGGTTGCAATTGCAATCCGATTGCGAATACAATTTTTTTTCAGCCGACTTAAGTTGAAATCATTGCAATTAACTAAATTAATTATATCAACAAGTATTTACTTCCTTTTTTCATAAAAAAATAGCTCGTGTTTATAAATTTTTAAATTTAACGAACTTATTTCCTCAAATTATCGTAGACAAAAATGCCACTATGCGCCACAATCATATGTTTGTCGTGATTTCAAATTCTTGCGGGCTAAAATTTTTCCAGCAAGAATTTGCCACTTCTCTCAGGAGAACTGTCACTTTGCGCTCTCAGTTTTTGAGTGATGGATAATTTTTTGGTCTGCACGAACGCGATTTGGGCAAAAATCATGATAATTCGACGAACAAACCTAATGTTTACACATACATACATACATACATATTTATTTCCCGCCCGCTGCTGCACATAGGGGTATTTAGCCGATTTATGCGGCCAAAATTATTTTTATGAATATTTCAACTCGAAATCTTTAGAAAAGACGTGTTTTGACATATAGAATTGAAAATGTTTAAAATCAAGTAAATATAGGTTAAAACATTAACAGAGTTGCCGGCTGTTAAATTTTTTTTTTCAATTAGTTTAATGAATTGCTGCAATATGGGTATCAATAAAATTGGGTTTGAAAAGGCTTTATCTCTGAGGAACCTTCCAGGGTTTAAAAAATCAAATTCAACTTTAATTAAAGGAATTAAATAATTCAAATATGTATCACAGTATAGGTAAGAAATGGGTGTATTCGAGGTGCAATTAATGCGGCAGTGTTACTCTTTTATGAAGAGTATCACGTTCTACGCGAAAATTTGGGCGAACAAAATTTTGACAATCATTGGAAAATCAAAAGCAACATACAAATTTTTACTGCGCAATTTCTGCAACATTTTAGAAAAGTTTAAGTTGAGCATCAGCAACATGTCATCAGGAGAGCAACAAGTCTGCAATATTGCGGCAATTAGTACGTAGCTCGAACGCACCCAATGTAATAAAACTACATTTTTGTAATAATAACAGTCTTATTTATTGTTAAGAGAATTTTGTAAGTATTAACTTGGAGTAAATTAGCGTCCTCAATTACTGAAATATCGGAGTTTTTCAACGCATTGCCCCAAAACGCATTATCCAAAAAATTATAATTTTATTTAATGCTAAGAGGTTATTCCGAGAACCGATTTAGAATGAATTAGCTTCAGTTGTTATTGATTTATCGATTTTCTAAAAATTTAATAATAATCCTATTTTGTTCCAAAATTTTACTTTACATACTAATTTTTAACAATTTGGATACAATATTTACTGAAGTATCGTAGATTTATCTAAATTGACATGTATCTAAATTTAAACGCTTGTATACCCAAAACCATTTCTTTAATCATCACTTATATAACATCAATGTAAAGGAAAACAAATGTTTATTCCGAAATATATAACATAGTTGGGTTCGCCTTCCTTAATATTCACAAAAACTAACAAAAAATTACTCGTTGAAAACCGCTATTTTCGTTACATTTAAATTGAACTTTTGCTTAATACAATGATTAAAAAAAATTTACCCTTAAATGCATTATTACCTTCTGTATGCGGATCCATCACTACTTTTTAAGAATATAATGCAGAAATTAAAATATTAACTTAAATCGTTGAAATACCCCTATGTGCGCTGTAGTAAAATATATTGAGCGTCATGCTGCCACTAAGCGGTTACCGGTTTAGTTTTCATTACAAAAACATCAACTAGAAAAAAGTGCTCTTCCAAAAATGCCTCCTAACTAAGTATAACAAGTATAAAAAGTATAAGTTGAAGCCGAACTCTATATACCGGGCGTACGTATTAAACTTCGTTGGTACCAAGGCCATTTTCCAAAACTTTATAATAATCTTATTTACTGGTAAAATATCATTGCTTCTTTATTTACTGATTTATCGCCGTTTATGCTCGATTTCCAAAATGGGCGGTGCCACGCCCATTTTCCACAAAGTTTATATTTGTCTTAAGTATTTTATTACAAAATTCTACTTCACCCACCAGTTTTACAGTATTTACGGAAATATCGTTCTTTTTGCATTTTTCGACAATACAAATGTTATATGAGAGGTACGCGTGGCCATCGTCCGAATTCGCCCAACCTATTTCGTTGAGTATCTCAAGCCCAAATTGGAGTAAACGCTCGGCTGCCTAACAAACATTAGTAATGTGCAATCAAATTCTTTTCTTCCTTTTTAATCTTAACCCTAAAAGTTTTTCGACTAAATATAACACTCGTTTTCGATTGTATATATACATCACAATTTTAAATCTTAAGCCTAACTAATTTGAATTATATAGTTATATCTTTGAATTAACGTCAACTGTACGAGTATTCGTAATAGTTTGCTGCCCTGATAATTTTATCAAATATAAACTCACGCACGCGCAGCCCACAAATGAAGTCGAAGTGATTCCAACGTTTGCGTGGTATTTTGTAAACGGCCTGAAGGTTGCGCATGCGCATCAGTAGTCGCCAAATATCCTCCACCGAAACGATGTAATCATTATCAGCGTAGAAAATGGTAACAGGCGCTGTGATGAGCTCCAGCTGATAGTCTGGCGGTTCTAATTGATTGTACATTAACCAATTCTTCTCCGGGCCATAGTCATATTGGCGGAATTTCGACGAGACATAGCCCTGGAAGTAGTGCATAATTTGCTTAAAAGAGCCACCTACGGGAAAATTGGCCATTATGTCGGGTAGCAAAGTCTGCAAACAAGTAAAACAAAATTACAAGACGTTACAGATATTCGTATATGTATTTACCTTGTTCAGATGTAGCGTATCATAGCCCACAGCCGGCCAAAGACGGCTCACACACACCATGGGCCGCTCGTTCTCGAAACAAAGTGACGACAGGAACTTCTTCACAAACTTGTTTGTGGATACCATCTCCATGCCCTCCAACACTTTGGCCACATAGTTGCGTGTACCCAATATGGGACCGAAAATCTTCGCCAGCCCACCTTTTGTATTGCTGACGTACGCCACCGGCGCCAACAGATGTGCCGTCTTGAAGACAGCATTGTATTGCGGCAAAATTGAGTTGAGCACCAAAAAGACAGTGCCACCTTGTGAGATGCCCACAAAATGCATCTTTGTTTCGCCTGTACACCGCAAAATGTAGTCCACCATGGCGGGCATATCGTAAATGCTCATCTCATGCCAGCTGAAGTTCCAGAATTCGCGCTCAGTCGTGTTGTACCAAACATTGCGTCGCGTATAGACATTGCCGCGATTGTTGCCCAACCAAATGTCGTAGCCTTGACGCCACAACAGATATGGCAATGAGTTTTCGCGACCATTTAGTAGCCAAGCGTCTGAGGAGGCGTAAATGCCGGCCAACAGGAAAACGACTGGACGACGCGTATATGTGCCACCACCGCTTGTGGTCGAAGTCGTCGTCGTCGTCGTCGTCGTCGTCGTCGTCGTCGTCGTCGTCGTCGTTGCTGATGTGTTGTATTGCGGGATGCGGTGTAATGTCAACGCATAGCCGTCTTTTGTTAGCACATGATGCTTTTCCACTGGATAGCCGTCGCGACGAATGCGCTTCACCTGCAATGCAAGAACAGTTTGAAGAAACAAAGTAGGTACATAATAAATAATTTTAATGCATTGCTGGTACTATCTTATGTATGCGCATAGCTATATTTGCATGTGCATATATATATATATATATATGGGCTTGTGTTGAAGTAGCAAGTATGCAATATGATTGAGTGACTCAAGTAGGTAGCATGACAATAATAAGCGTTATCGGCGTCATTGTGACATTGCCGTGACATGAAAGTGTCTTACGCAAATAGTCTACCTGGCTGGGCTGTCTGCATGGCTCAATAGGCGTCTGGGTGGACGGACAAGCGAAGTGGAATCGGCTTAACTGCGTAAAAAGTGCATGCGTTTATTTATTCGTGTTTATGCAAAGAGCAATCAATGTCACTTTGTTGTTGCCTTTAGTGTAATTTGCAACAGTTTTACTCTGCAGCGTATACCCTATACGTGTAATAAATACTTTGAACGAAATTACAAGTTAATTTTTTTCATTTCTTTACAAGGTGCTTAAAATGATTTTTGAAAATCCCTTAAGTTACAATAACCGAAAAAGATACCAATCGCCAGATACCTCATCATTTTCCAGCGATCCAAGAGAAGCCAATGAAAGCAATGTGTTGGCTGCACTTCTTTGGCCTGCGGAACGACGATCGGAGTTCCAGGCACAGAGAGTTGTTTCGAAGGTTGTCAGAGTAATAGCTTTGATTTTTACATTTTATGAAAAACTTATATCTCCATTGCCCTTTGCAAGAAAGTACATCGTTGGCTTTCCTACAAGGGAGCAATGGAGAGATCCAGACAAACTCTTGGGAGGATCGGTGAAAATTCTCAATACCGACGTCTTAAAGACTGAAAATGGTACTGGAGCTGGATCACATCTGCACTTAAATTCAGGAGCTTTTCCTCTTTGGGTGCAGTGAAAGACCATTTTCATTCGAAAGCCTTGAATTACTGAAAGTAGCAGCCTGGATAATTGGCGAAAAGTGATGCGGACATAAAATCGGCGTCTGCAGTGACAGCCAAGCTACTCTAGAGGCCCCGAGGACCGCTCGCATCTTTTCAAAAATAGTACGGGAATGTAAATTGGGCGAAGATGGAATGATGTGGTGTGTGTGGCCAAAGAATTGACGAACTGTGGTTAACTTGCGCATCCAATTAGACCACGGCCAATTTTAGGGCCAAGCATATCGGCAACAATCGGGTACGTCAGGGATTTCACGAGAGCCGTAGGTTAGCGATTCAAAAGATCTGACAAGGTGGTAGCTAAAGGATCTATGAACCCGGATAGGTCTGACTGCGGGGCCCAATCCATGAGGTCGACATTTGGTCACCATAGGCATCATTGACGATCCATTGTGTAAGATGATAATAGTACATATCATTTTCTCTGCCGCTGTCCGGCCTTCACCAGCGTTAGATGGTACATTGGTCGGATGTATTGAGAACACAAACTGCTAAGATTTATAAAAGTGTATGGTAAGTTTACAGAGAAGCAATGAATTCCCGCTCTGCTAATATATCTAAATCCTCTTTCTAGGCTTTAGTTGCAATGGACAATCCTGCCTGAGTGCTTGGTAAAATTGTTTCGAGTTTTTCCGGCCACGCACAATTCCATTCCATTCCAAGCAGATATTCATGAAATAGAAATGTGTAGCAAATAACATCTTAAGAAGGCCATACCTATACGATCAATCATTATGATCAAAAGCTCCGAACCCGATGACAATGCAATATGAAAGATGAATTAATCCGCTGGGGGCGCAGGTGTTGAGATATTTGAAAACCCCGTATTTATGATTTGATAATATCTGATATTATCTACATATGTATGTAGTTCATATTTGGAATAAGTGTTACTTACATACATGAAAAGGAATGACTGTAAAAAAATTTGCGCGATAGGTGGCGCAGTAGTAGAGATATTTGGGGAAAAAACGAAGCCGTTAGGTGATGCGGGGTTAAACTTTTATTTGTTTTATTAAAAATTGAATGAAAGCATGTAAAATTTTTTTTTTTACATGACTTGTTTTCATAGTGAAATGTTTCTAAATATTCTCCGTTTTAACAGATATAATTATGTATGTACATATGTATACCTACTAAAACACTCTTCTAACTTTCGTTAAATTCCATATGGTGGGTATGGTGCGCATAATTTTTTTTTCGCTAATTTTTGGCAAATGCAAATGCCAGCACGTGCGTTGAACATTCAGCGCTATGAGGGCGTGTTGACACAGAAATATGTATGTACATTAAGCCGTATCACTATATATGAAAGAAAAATAGTTCAGTAATCAGATTTATTTCAAAACTTATATACACAAACAATTTTTGGACCCAAAAAAATTTTTTTGCACCCGATAAAAATGGCTAAATCGCGTTCTTTGTTGTAGATAACATTCTTACTTGAGCATAATTTTTTTATTTGTGAATAAAAACGTAGAATATTTTTTCATTTCTCATTTTTTGAGAGATTTTGATTTATGATATAAAAATAAAAATCTAGAGATAGTATTTCCAAATTTAGTTAAGGTATGTATTTGAACGGTTTTTAAACCCGAAAACATCTTAAGGGCCAATTATAGTCCTGAGCGAGATCTTTTCGACCATCAAATAAGAAAGTTACAGCAAAAACGCGGTTCGCTTGCTTTTAGCGGGTGCCTAAAACTAAATTACACCCAATTTCTCTCGGCGTCAGTACTAAAATAATGCTGGCACACACTAGACTTTTATTCGTGATATGCCCTAATGTACATACATGAAAGCCACACAAGCTAAAAAGGACAATCGGCGATAAACTTGCGATAGTAAAGATTGTCATAAAGCAGCTCAAGCCAACAATAACAACGGTTTTTACATATGTACATATGTGTATGTATGTATGCGCATATGCTATACGTGCAATATTTCTAATTATGCATTCAGCGCATGCGCGCATTGCACAAATGAATGTACTAAAACACACACAGGCACAACCATTCGGTAATCAAACGGCACTTTTGCGATGTGATCTGCCCTTGTAGCTTAAAGTTTGTCCTCCAATTGACTGACTAGATACACTCGATAAGTCAAAAGTTTAAATTGATGACTTGGGAAATTTGTCGTTCAACAGGGAGGTATGTAGGTACATACATAAATACTTGCCCATTGCGAGACGAATGCGATGGTTTTACGAGTAAGTTGGCGACGAAAATATTGTACTAGTTTTAATTTTGCGCTGCAATTATTAACTTTTCTCCAGAAATGATTTGGAACCCTTAAAAGTGTGCATGAATTTTTACAAAATTGAGGAAAATGTAGTTCCGATTCGATCCGTGAATCAATCAAAAAAATTCGAGAATAGATTTTTCATCAATTGGTCTACGTTTTCTTCTACATGGATCTATATTTATCTATCAATGAAAGTTTTTAAAACAGATTAATTTGAGGCTAGTAAAAAGGATGCCGGTTTGGCAACTTCCACCTTTCCAACTTGAGAAAGCAAAGCAAATCGTGGTACAAAGCTCGATAACATTACTTAAAGAAGTCTTTCCATTTATTATAAAATATTCTCCAAACGTTTGCTATATATACATATATGATAGGGTCTTATAAGTGGGGCTTTAGACCTGGCACCATAGACCAGGTATTCACTTTACGATAAATTTTGGAAAAGACCAGCGAGAAAAGGATCGATTTGTCGATTTGTTCTAAGTCGCTTTCGACAGCACTAAAAGGAGGAGTTGGAGTTTAGTATCCCAGCGAAACTGATACGGCTGTGTAAAATGACGTTGAGCAATACTAGCAGCTCCGTCAGAGTTAGGAAATACCTATCCCAGCCATTTGCCACCAAACTGGGCTTCAGACGGACATATTCAATTCAATTCAATTAATATGATGTTGGAGAAAATAATAAGTGCCGCAGAACTGAATGCTCAGGAAGAAATTTTCTACAAGAGCGTGCAATTGCTAGCGTATGCTGATGATATCGATGTCATTGGTAATAAGAACCGCGAAGTGTGAAAACCACTCTCTCGCCATGTCCCGCAGAAGCATGGACAATGACCGCATCCGATGAGGCGGTTCTTGGAGTATTCGAGAGAAAGATTTCGTGAAAGTTTTACGGGTCTTTGCGCGTTGGCGATGGCGAGTACCGCAGACGATGGAAGGATGCGCTGTATGACTTTACAACGACATGGACATAGTGCGGCACTGATTTGGAAGTGTCGTTCGAATGGACACCGATGCTCCAGCTCTGAGAGTGTTCAAATCTGAACCCGTTAGTGGTAGAAGAGAAAGAGGGAGGCCCCCACTGCGCATGGGAACAGCAAGTGGAGAAGGACTTGGCATTTCCAAGTGGCGTCAGTTGGCACAGAGAGATCGCGCGTATGTATTGTATAAAGGTTTTTTAGGTGCGCGTGTTTATTTCCGCTTGTCTATATAACAAAACATTAAAACACATGCGCCCAATTTCGTCATTAATCTCACTTTATTGCATTTCACTTTACCGTAAAGTAGGTATTTATTCTCATTATATTATTTATAATTAGCACTACATATTTCACTGGACATACCGCATCTGTGATGATGATGTCGCGCGTTTGACGCACGTTGATAAACGCTTCAACCATAAATGAGGATGCGCTTAGCTGAAACTCCAATTGCCAGCAACACAAGGCTGTCAGCAGCAACATCAACAACGACTCGATGATGTTGCAACTTATGTTGGTGATTGCCATGACGCGCGCGTGACGCAAAGATGCTGCGAAAGGTGGCACTGATGATGTCGTTGATGATGTTGCTAGTTAAACGCGTTCGCAGTGTTATTACCACGGATGGCCGCAATGTTGCAGAATGACATACTGGATTACTGCGACGTGTAGTGCGCGTAACGAATTGTGTGAATGGCAGCCAACACACTTTGCTACTTGGCCAACAGACAGCGACGACTTATGTTGCAGCTGCAGCTATGGCTTAGTGTGTCGGCTAAATGTAGGTGGTTGTAGGACGTTGAGTTTCTGCACAATTATTCTATGTGTATGACGACGCTTGCCATAAGATTTAACAATCACTTCACTTTGTGCGCGTAATGTAAAAACCAGGAACGCGAAATATATGAGTATATAAAAACAAAGGTGCCGACTTAAACGCTGGGTCAAAAGTTAACACTAATTGTGGTTGGAACGTCACGGCGGGTAATTCTTTTTTTTTTTTTGTTGTGTATGTGTGTGCTTGTGCGCGCTTATTGGGCGCCTTAACTGATATTATTACTTTTCACTTTTCACATTTATTGCTACTTATTGGCTTTCTTTCTTTTTTCTGTTGTGTAGCATTTTTGCTTTTTTTTTTTTTAATTTTGCACTTTCATTGGCGGTTTGTAACTTTTTTCTCGTTCGCAGGAAAAGGTGAAACCTCCATATCGGTTTTACATGTATGAATTCCGGGATCGCGTTGAAGAAAATGTTGGTTGGTGGAGTCGCGTTGCCTCACTAAGATAATCGTGCGCGGACGGCTGTCTATAGACTGATTGTCTTACCGCCGTTTCGAATGCGGTATCCGCACAGGCTGTGGTCTTCCATTTGCCCCAGCTGATGCGAAGCGCTTCTCTCAGCTGCTTCTGCTGCTTCCAAAACGTGCAGAGCTTGTAGAGACAGACGATCACCGTGCTCATTACGTGTACATATTACCTTCGCGACGTTGGCTTCAACCCGTGCGCACAACGCCGATGGCTCTGCACTTGTTTAATTCATAAACTCAATCGTTCGGTCTTTGTGTTCGCATTAATCGATTTGCAATGAGCATTGCCGACCAGCCGGCTAGTGATTCGGCTGTGACTCAACCACGTGGAGTGGCGCTTTGTCCATTTGTCCAACGTTATTAGCTCGCTATTGTCACTGGGCTTTTACTTTTGCTCTCCGGCGTTGCTTTGGAACAGCTGCTGACCATATTTGCCGCCCACCGTTTGCGCATGCTCTGGGGGTACGTACGTCCACCTTTTCCTCGGAATCGCAATAACCTGTTGACTGGTTGTTTCGCTCGGTACGTCATAGCGCGATTCGTTTAGGATGCGCTTACGATGCGTTCACCGATTTGTGGCGCTGATAACTGGGTAACACGGTAACACGGTTACACGCTTCAATCACTTTGAAGCGTTCACTTGTTTGTTTACTTGCCGACGGTTTACACAAATTGTCAACGCACAGCTTTTACTTAAGTACTCATAATTTAATTTCATCAATAAGCGCTTAAGTATTTACGATCGCGCCGACTCTTACGCTTTCTGGGCAATAAGCACCCTCTTTGTTTAGCCCCAAGTGCTTGTTTACTTACTTTTAAAGCATGTATGTATGCATGTATGTATACACTTATGTACTTACGCATTCGCTTGCTTGTAGTGTTTTATGTAGACATGTATGTACTCTTATGCACGTCAACTTGAACGCACAAATAAGTTAAGTGGAACACTGTGTCATGACAGGACGTCCGGCTCGCCTCCAATGCCCCACCGGCTTCATCTTGTTTCACGCGTCTTCAAGATTACCTGGCTAGGCGTAATTTAATCGTGCCATAAGCCATAAGTCACGAGCAGATAGGCATTTGCAAAAAAAAAAAACATTAGGCCGGGTCAGCCCAAGAAATTTAAATGAAATTTAGGTGTCAGTTCGAATTATTATAATTCAGGCTATAAAATTTCATGGTAGTTGAAAAAAATTAATAAAATCAAGTTTTTCGATTGTTTATGGAACACGATTTCATTCATGTGGCTGCCTCGACTGGCTTTGCGGAGGCGCATCCTGCTAACCCCTGTTTTTCCAGACCTTGGTAACGGCTTCTGGCTCTAACTCACGAATGGCTTGCTCGATGTTCACCTTAAGGGGCGGAATCGTTAATGGGTTGTTAACATAACACCGGTCCTCACACAAAGACAAATCTATCGGCGTCAAGTCGCAGCTCCGATGGGACAAATTGACATCGCGGAGGCGGCTGATAACATGGTTACCGAACTTGGCGGTCTATTGTGGCATGACGTGCCATCCTGCTGGAACCAAAGATCGTCCAAGTCTATGCCGTTATTTTCTGGCGCCAAAGAATCGTTTATCATGCCTCTGTAGCGCTCACCTTTCGCCGAAATGGCGCTTCCAGCAGTATTTTAAAAGAAAAATGTGCCAATGATGTCACCGTTCCAAAATCCGCACCAAACTGTCACTGCCTGAGGCTGCATTAGGTTTTCCAAACTCCATAAGCGGCAGCTTTGCTTCTTAAGATAGCCGCCGATATGAAAATACGCTTGGTCAGAAAAGATGATTTTTAGGGCAAAATAGTTGTCCATTTCGTGCTGCAGCTGCATGTTTGAGTATTTTGGTTCAAGATTCGTATTTCATTTCGATTGCAAACACTGCACTCAAAACATTTAAATTTATAAGGGCGAAATTCACAGTGCGTAGTTAACTCAGAATCGGCAGTTAACTACAGATTATTCTAATAAATTTGGCACACTGTTAATTTGGCACTAATTCAGGTTAATTTGCGTGTCACCCTCGAAAAGGGACACACTTATACATTATTAATTTATTTATTGTGTGTGGAAGGAAAGATAAGGCGAAAATCCTGATAATCGAGAAGTTCACTCCCGAGACACCTTTGAAGATAGGGAGTTGTGCTTTTGTTATCCTAAGGACTCAGTAGCTTATATAGAGGGGGTCATTAGGGAGATAGACAGATAGATTTAGAATTTTCGATGCTTACATTTTCGAGGTCTATCAGCTTTCGTTGCTTTTGAGTCGAGAAGTTCAAAAGATCAATTTGGATCTGGGACAAGCTCCGGCCAAAGATTTACGTAATGAAATTCCGAAAATATGTTCCGAAAGCACTGAAATTTCAGAAATTTACAAAGCTTAAACACAAGTAGCAGAATCTCTCGAAATTGTGGTAAAACATAAAATAATAGTAAGTAGACAGAAGCATCGTGGGAAACTTAAAGCTAGTTGTACAGAATACAACGTCCATGTGACCGCACTTAGTCCATTTCTGAACTTCTACATCACAGAACTCGAAGAAAGATTTACCAATCACGAAAATATTCTTAACGGAACGCTCTTCACTCACAAATCATTTGAAGTTAACAAAGTAGCTGAGGGATTAACTTTTGAGTTTTATGACCAATTCGACATTGATGGATTTCCAGAAGCAGTCGCTGAGTTGACAATCTGGAGACGATATATGACTAGCAATGGCATTAGGTAGCCCATTAAATCCATTAGATGCGCTGAATAATTATGCAGGTGAAAATTTCCATGCCTATTTTAAAACATCATTTTCTGGTAGGAGGCGGCGGAGAAGTCTATAGTTTTGTTTAGTTTGGAATGCTCGTAGGGCGGAATGCACTTAAAGAGATTATGCATAGCTCCTATCGACATCGTTGATAAAGCAGCTTCAGCATTAGCTGTGGTGAGACTTAAAAGCACTGGGTGCTTATGTGATTTAGGATTTGGGCACTCTACTATCATCGCTACGTGGCTGGACTGGCTCTTTCTCTATTCACATTCGCTCTAGAGACGACTAGACGAAAGGATCCGAAAAGGAGTAGAGGAAATGTTTGAACTGCTTCATGGAACGGCCAAAAGTTGACGGGAGGGTCGGCGGAGGGGTATTTAGATAGGCTCAACTGCGCGACGTCTACAAGAGCGGTTAATATCTACTTTGATATGCAAGTATCAATCTGGGAATTGAGCTCACTCGCGTTGAACTCAGTTATGTGTGATTTTTTCTGCTATTCAGACTTATGTATGAATATCGGTACCGAGCTATAGCGATGTAGCAGGAAAGTACGTTTAGGATGAGTTGGCCAGACGATCTCACCGGAAGACAGGGAGTGGGAGTACCTTCATTTCCGTTGGGCCTGAGCATATACTTGGACATGAGGATGTGGTGTAAGTGTCTCAAAATTTTCACTAAAGCTGCCCAACTTTGGCGACCGTGCGGTCTACACAACTAGGGTAGCATTCTTCAAGCATTGACATCTTCCACTTTGTTGAGGCTACATAAGAACTTTGTTAAACACTGACTTATCTCCACCTTTGAGACCTCCGCAAGGCCCTGAAGTAATGGCTCGCCAAGCCGAGCCAAGGAGGAGCATTTCTTTTTTGTTGAACTTGGGAGTACCGATTCGCTTATCCTATTACTTTAGCGGTTACTCAGGACGAAAGTCTCTTGCACACTGTTTAGGGGCTGTGGGTATACCAAAAATGTACTTTCCTGCAAGAATTTGGGTTCCTAGGACCTTTCTTTGGCAATTCATCGGCCCTCAATATGAGCTGAATTTTCTATTGCAGGGCCATCTTATTCAGAGATCTACGGCATTTAGTATGGATTTTCATTGTTTATGTGCGAGTCTAAAGCTTCCCGGGCTGTCCAGCTGTTAGAGAAGATCAGGGAGAGATGTTTGAGCGAGGCTCCGTGTTGCTTCCTGGACGCCTAACACCGTTTTATTGCAATGTAGTTGAGAAAATTCCTATTCCAACTCTTCGTTGGGTCTCTTAGAGCCAAATGCGTTAAAGATATTTTTAATCGAACGGGCCATTGCAATTTTGCCTTTAATTTCTACTCCGTGCCCGATTCGGTCTAATGTACATACTGGCAGTAGGAATATTTATATGCAGAAAATATTAAAAATTTTAAAGCTAAAAGCAATTATGATTGTGTCATCTCTTATGATCTCTGTTTGTCAGACAATTGCGACTCGACTCACTAAACCGACCGCTCAACTTGTTACCGTGTTTGCACGCATTCGGATGCAATCGATAAACTACAAGCGCTCATGAATAAAAATATTCAGCTACATTATCAAGTACATACATATCTATGTATGTCTTCATACCCACATAGATATGTACCTCAGTGGATTATTTACAACATTTCATGCAATAATTGTCGCGTTATGTGTCATAATTATGGCATTTGGTTTGGTTTTTTTCTACTTTTGATATGTGTAGTGTGTGGCTCAATTAATGTACCGATATAAGTACGTTTGTACATACTAACCTATATACATACATATGTATGTACATGCAATATGCATAGCAATTGTCTAACTGTGCGATTATCGCAGACGTGCGAGGGCTAAACTTTGCTAAATTTCTGTTTATTTGCGTGAATTAATTGCCACAATTGGGCAAAATTGCCGTGATTCCTTTTATATTTGTTGTTTTTGTTTTGTTTATTTTACAGTATTTAGTTGTCTTTTGTTCACAGTTTAGCTGATTCACGTAAATACTTAATGGTATTTTTATGTCCGCCCTCCAAACTGGACAACTACGAAGAGGCATTATTTTATCTTTTAACATTCCTTAACGAGTTTGCATAGTGTTTAATTTGAAAGATACTGGTACAGTTAAAACTGCATGTCACAATCGGATAACAAATTCTGAAATGTAAGGTTAAACATTTAACAGATGTATTACCGAAGCCTTACTACATACGTGAATATCAATCGAATCAACAGTGAGAGTTTTGGTTTTGCAAGCACAAGGAGCTCCTTCGAGCCTCCCCGATCCAAGCTAGGTCAGTCGAATCTTTCAATTGCAAATTTCTTAGAGGCCAATCTGTCCTAGAATGAACCATAGAAGGTCAAAGGTACACCAATCACCTAATCATCTATTGAGTTAATATTTGCAGGTAGAGAAAAGGCTACTAAGAAGCGTTTCGAAGACACGGTAATCTCGAAATTGAAATCCTTCAGAACTAGAATTATTGTGGAGTTTAGGAAAATGGGCGTGGTACCACCCTCCTTATTACTATAGTATTTTCAGCTTAAATGAAACTTTTTTCAAATTAAATGAACTCATTCCTTTTGAGAATGTTTCATTTAATTTGAATAAAACCTGAGAAAATTTACATTTCATTTGAAAATGGCTTCGCTTAACCTGAAAAAGGTTTCATTTAATTTTAAAAAGGTTTCACTTAAATTGAAAATGGTTTCATTTAAACTGAAAATGCTATACATATGTACATATATGAGTTTGTCTTATTAGTGGTGAAACCACCCACCGGGCATTTATTGTTCGGCGTCGTCCGAACTTAAACTTCCTTGTATGTAGACCGTTAAGCTTGAATTTCGAGAGGTGTTGGACGCCATTTTAATTTACCCTAATTTGACAAGTTGACTACAATAGCACATATGTATGTACACTTGTAGTCAGCTGATTAAGTAAAGTGACATTTTGACGTGTTTTGGGTATTTTTCTCTTGCTTATTTAATGTTTATTATTATTGCTTTATAAAAGTCATATAACCAGCATTGTA